TTATGACAGCCACGGCGCCCAATCCCTGCAGCAGATGGCTGACCGGCTCGGGCGGTCAACGGATGAATGGGAAAATGGAGAGCGGCGCAGATCAACGCCCCCTCTGAAAGCCTGACACACTGTGCGGCGACTAGGTCGTGTGTGGCACGCGTAAACGGGCTGTTCAGCCACTTCCGAACGCACCGACATTGTCTTGCCATCGTAGCAAGGTGGGTATGGGAGGAGAGAGTGAGGTAAATGCAGTGCAAGTCTACTACTGCCTTAAACTAATCCATGCGCAAGTCACCGGCCACGCGCCCACTTCGTGGGGGGACACACGGGACTCCGAGATCCGAGAGTCCTCTTCCCGATGAACCACTTTTGCGTCTTTCACTCAAACCTGGCGCCCACCTCATCTTTCCCCCTTACAGGTTTACCCATTTGTCGCATGCAGTCTGGCTACATTATCTCGATGTGGCCTCGTCACCAATCTCGTCTCGGAATCTGCCGAAAGATCTGTATGGTATGAGCACTGGAGTGTCGTGAATGTCGGCCATCACGCCACGTGCAACGATCCCTGATGAAGGGAAGGGAGCCGTGAACATTCATAGGTATGCGGTAGCATGGCTACTGCATCCTATAAATACTGCAGCCGCATGTGCATGAACCACCACTTATCTGCTTATGTCTCTGATGATGGATTCGAGCAGGAATCCGAAACGCCAGGCTAATAAAGCTCTTGTCCCGGCGATCGTGTCTTCTTCTTCAAGACTGCTTCCTGGGACTCGTCTCGTCGCTTCTATTGGAGTGTTGTTTGTTGGAACCTGCGAGCTGGAACTTCCTCATCGCCGGACTAATTATGCTTGAAAGCCCTCCTCTTATCTAGTGTATGGTAGACATGAGGAGGGAACCGTCACCTGTTTTTCTCTGGTGAACGTAAGGCTGTTTAGAAACTGTCGTGTCTCAAAATCTACGGACACCACATGGATTCTGAAATATAATAGGGCATGTCGAATGGCAAACAAGCCAAGCTGTGTGAGGATCATGCGCAAGAATGCGAGCACACAAGCGAGGTTCGAGGAGGACCATCTCCTCGATATCAGTACATGAAGCAGGGGTATTCTCGAAAATTCAACAATTGCTAGCTGCGACCCACCTACACTGAAAACGTGTCGGAGACTACGGAAGGCACAGTCTGCCTCCGAATTACGCGCCTAGAAGATCGTTTGAATGGTTGCCAACGCACTGCATTTTTACCCCATGGAATGTGTTAATTGTTCGGTCGCTTATGTGGGTCAGACAGGTCATAAAGTACTGCGTGGGTTCGAATCCCACCGAGGCGCCGAGTTTTTCACAGTTGGGTCAATATGAATTATTCAAAATCTGCCAAAATATCAAAGAAGTGCAAGTCATCAGTAAGACGCGCTGGCCACGATCACAGATGCTACATAACCACTGACAGCCAAGACAGACGCAGGTCTGACGACTGGAGATGAGGTCTAAGCCGACCACGTTTGGGACGCGTTCCTATGGCATTGCGCTAGCAGGGAGTTCTAGGACCGAGGAAGTACGCCTATCTTTCCGGAAGTCCAACTTGCTTTCAGGTAGTCTTTCCTATATTCTTACTCACTCTACCTTCGTTATTAACGTCCATGTGCACGCTCTCTCACACACAAATTACAACTTCACACTACTCTATCCTTAATCACCTTTATGTACAAGGAAGAACGTGGATCGTACCATAACTGTCGGCAACCCCTACTTCACGGCGCCTGAGTGTCTGAAGAAGAAGGCTCCGTACTCCCCGGCAGCAGATATTTTTTCATTCGGCATCATCCTCTGTGAACTCATTACATGTCTGGTCAACGACGGCCTACGGATCCCCCGGACTCCGGTAAGCTCCTCCTGACGCCCCTCCCACAAGTTTCTGCGTGATTAACAGGAAGTGGGTAGATACGGAACGGTTTTTAGCCAAATAATTGACCTTGTTCGTGCGTAGCCAACTCGTACCAATCTTCTCGAAGTCCCTGCACTACACTTAGGGGTGTTTCCTATAGTACTTTATTACAACTGAGGACTCCCCACTGCCGACGGTGGCTCCAGAAGTACGCGGGCGTACTTCGTGACATTCACATCACTGCGGCTTAGTTTCACTGACGAACAACGACACAATATTTCCTCCGATTATTAATTATCCACCTCCATTACGCATCTTGGTAGCTAGCGGTGGTGCGTCTAAAGCGATATTTCTGAAGTTCACCTCCCCCCCTCCCACGTCTAGCTTCTGGCATCCGTAGAAACCATACAAATGATGCCTTACAGCCACCTACAGCGTGCTTTTTTACCGGTAGCAAGAGCTTTGGACTGTGTGCATGGACGGAAAAATTGAGGTCTCCTGGCGCTATAGCAAGGAAGCTTTGTGCTTGTGAGATTTTCGAAATTTCGAGTGAGAACGCAAGTCAACAACAATCGTTGATGCTCATACGCCACGGGCCAACCGCTTTAGTGCGGTCGACGCCGGAGATCAATCGGTTACAGGTTATGGGGATGCATACCCGTCGATATTCCTAAAATTTTGGTAAGACGTGCTGACGTTGTCAATAGACGACGTCATCAGATGACACAATGGAACACAAATGAAAAATCTGTATTGTAGTGAAAAATGCCCAATTGTGAGTGGAATGGGAGAAATGGTGGCTGTATGCATTGACGGTTAAGTGGAGATTTACTATACGAAGTAATAACGCTGATGCTGACGAATTTGGCTCCCCGAAGAAGCAGACGCAGGGTAATGAGGCTGCTGTTGGTGATGCCACGAGGTCGTTCCGAATGGCAGCAGTGTAGCAGGCACCCACATCCTCCGGTTGACCTTGTTTGGTTAGGTGGACTTCGGTGAGAACGGCTGTCTCCTCCTTGTAGCGCAGCAGTTGTCAAAGGACTAGGGCTGCTCTCCATTCCGGCTGGGGGCTCTTCGAATTGTTTAAAGAAGGGCGAGAATTCCAGGCTGCTAGAGTGGGCATGCTTACCCAAGCTGCCTACGGGATGGGCGGAGGGGGGCCAGAGTTCTTGTTGTTCGACCGCGAATTTTGCATGCACGAGCCACGGTATAGTTTCAAGTGGCGTGATTTCCCAGCATTTTTCTAGCTTCCTTTTTGGCCACTTCCCCGCGAGTGGATAAGCGGTGCTATCCGTAGATGGGAACTGCTTAGGCATCGCAGACTAAGAGGTCCTGTTTGTTCAGTCTTGACGCCTGTCGATTCAGCGTGCAAGGAAAAAAAAACAGTTTCCAATGCAGTTTGGTTTATGAGCTGCAAATGCTGTTTGTCAGCCCAACTTCCCAATCCGCCTCCCCTCTTACCTGTTTGCAGCTTTTCGGCCTTGACGTCGACAGTCTCCCTACACCTTCGGATTGTCCACCATGGCTTCTTGACCTTGCTGTACGGTGTTGTAATGTTGAACACACCTGCCGACCACTTGTAAAGGAGATCAATCAGATCCTCCGCCATCACCTCTCCACCTGGTCCAGTGGGGTGAATTCGTCACTTCCCACACCGAAGACCGCCTCGGTCCTGGACCCGACAGCGGACCGCCACGTGAGTAATTTTAAAATGCACAGTCTACTTGTATTTACCTAGTACGTACTTAATGGTCGTATTTGTTGAAGAAGTTGGCACGGTTGCGCTGACTGCATGTAGATGTCCATCCTGTTGCAGCCACCCCTCTCCTTCTTTCCTACAAACTGTTATCCGCCTCTTGTCTACAAAATTAACCCTGACGTCTTCTGGTAGATGTTTCCCTGACCTTTTTTCCGCATCGGGCCTGTGCAGTGAGTGTGTATTTGTGCTGATACGTAGGCATGGAAGTGTTTGGGCCTTTCACTTCGAGGCGACCGCTATTTTCGTCTCTCGTTGAGGGGTAACTCTGGAAACTCTCTTAGTACCTGGCTATTGCACTTGACTTTGCGTCGTCCTTCGTAGTATTTCCCCTATTTTCCTATAACTTTTCCCATTCGGGTGGGAAAAGGGGAGGCAACTTGTCGGTCACAAGTTTTTGGTGAAATTGTAAAAAGTCGACTAGGATCAACTGGAGTTCGTCATTATAGGTGGATCAGTTGGATTGGGAGGCTCCCCGGTTTCCAGACTGCAGAGTGTTTTCCTTTAAAGTCAAACCTAAACGTCTAATGCTGGTGGAGTCTCGACACAGGTGTGTTTTGCATGCTGGGAGTCTCAGCACGTTCGGATTTTAAGCACATGTGCGTTTGGCATACTGACAGCGCCCGTTAGCCTTTCTTGGTCGCGGGACAACAGTTGTTCGAAATGCTTACGCCCCCTCAAACCCAGGACCTCATTAAATCTATACTGATCCCGGCACAACAGTGTGGAGGATTTGATGTGCAGGTACTACCGTCACATTTCCCTCTGCCTTAAGGTGGATCCTCCGTGTGCCAGTCCAGTTAAGCCCCGACCAGTCCTCTCCGGGGACCAGCTCGCGGTCGAAGTTCGTCCCGCTTCGGTCACTTCTGACGCTTCCACTTCTCCCCTGCCTCCTGCTCGCAGTAGCAGTAAATTGATCAACTCACCTGCCGCTGGTCCTCAACCCCGATCCCCTACACCGGCTGTCGGCACCGTCATCACTGCTGGCAACTGCGCAACCAAATCCCCTGCCCCGCCCTCCTGCCCGTCGTCTTCCGCCCTGTCCTATGAACACCTGACGATTGAGTGGAAAATCGCCGGTAGGGCGGAGCCGCCCGACCGCCTAGAGACTCTATACTCTCAGGAGTCTGTTCACCTGTCAGCAGCAGCAGCCGCCGCTGCCACACCCGCACCCTCTTCCCTCCTCGACAGGCCCACGGCCACTTTTGCCCTTCCCGACGGTCTGGCCTAACTGCCATCCCGCCCACGCTCAACTCCGTACTCCCTCCGCCTATGAGTGGGGGGAGGAGGTTTACTCTCTGCGCACAAATCCGACCTGTGTGCTCTTTATCAACCACCACCAACACCACCACCAGCAGTCTTTCCCTAATGAATAGTGTGGTAAGTCGTTACCCTGAACTTGCACTGCAGTTGTTGAAATATTATCCGCTGCTTGCATCCCGAGGTCTGATTTTTGCGATAATGAGGAAGCATTGTGAGTCTAAGAGTTGTAGCGGCCAAGCGGTGATGGTGTACGCTCAGTACGCCAAAACATCAGGCCATATCCCAAGTTGTTAGAAGCAGGACACCATTTGGTTAGGACACTTTATTCTGTGCAGAATAGTGAAGGGGAATGTTGGCAACCGGACGAGGATGCGTCCGGCGCCGCAGAGGCGGCGTCCGCGAGAGCGACGAGCCCTTTGTCGCCGAAGGTCGCCGCTGCGAAAGTGTCGTGGCAGATTGTTTACGCTAGTGTTCTGGGCTGTGCCCGCCAATGTACCGATCAGCGAGAGGAGGTGCGTTGATTGGCTCCGAGCCCACGCGAAGGTAGTGACAAGCCTCGCATGGTGCAGGCAGAAAATCGATCAGGTGCGTGGTGCAGACAGTGAATTGCAACGAGACAAATCGAAGCCGGGCAGACGTGCGTGCCATAGCAGGCTGTCGCTAGGACTTAGGTGCAGGCGCTAGCGAGAGGCGCGACGTAGCCATTATGGTTGTCCACTACAGAGTACCCCTTCTCTGCCTGCGACGGCGTAGACTTCACGTTTCTGGGTTTGCTTCCATTGGTCAAGTGTTTTCGTTCCGCGTTATGTAGACTAGAACAGATTGTGGTCAGATCAACGTCCTGCTTATTATGTGGTTACTCTTCTGATTACGAGGATGAAGTATATTCGAGGACTGTCTTCCCATCGTTTGATCGAAGCAACGTAGTCAATCTGGTCATCCTATCAGCGAAAAAGAGGAAGAATGGGCGCTTGGCAATCTGCTCACGATGGAGTCTTCTTTCTCTGAATGCCAGGCTAAGAGGCTAGATAAACCAGCTTTTGCAATCAGTCACACCACAGCCTTGGGTTCAGACGGCCTGGCGATATAACCCCCAACCAATATAACTGGATACATCCAAAACCAACTCCTCCGCCAACCGGATTATGACCTGTGGTTCCCTTCGGATATTCGCAAGGCCTTCCATAGTCATGCTAGATTACTCCCAGTGAATCAGTCCGGTTTAGTCCTAAATCACCTAATTGAAGAGGTAAATCGGTTGCTGGAAACTAGGCGAGTAGCTCTCACCTGATTGGTTGTAGTTGAGACCGAGGCCATCACTGTCTTCAGCAAGCGTCTCGTCAGTCACCAGATTATAAAAGCCCACGTTGGTGGTACGTGATTAGCTGCACTCGCCTGGCCGCTGTTTTGATTTGACTTTGTGTTTGTAGTTTTTGTGATGTGTTTGCCCTCCAAGTGACACCAGATAAAACTGTATTGTGCTGTGTCTGTGGACGAGATGAAGAAATTGTGCCACTCCTGAAATCCTGTATGACTTCTGAAGTTGCCAACGACAGCAGTCAGACTTGTGTGCGGCAACGACTTGTACATGTTTATGTCAAGGTGTTCATTGCTGTGTTAGCGTTGTTACTTTTCGGCGGAATTATTTTTCAGAATTTATCGATTACTCTCATTTACCGCTCGATTCACAAGTTTCTCCTCTCTCTCTCCCCTAGGCTCTTTCAAAGCCTAAATTGGGCGATTTCCGCATCGTCTGCTCTTTTACATGCTATACTCTGCTCTCACTCCCTCCCTCTCTCTCTCTCGCCGTGACGACAATCTTGCTTGGCAGGATGCGTGCGAGATTCACCGCACAGGGTGTGCTGCCTCAGTCCTCGTCTACCACCACCCCGTCCACTTTGCATTCCTGCCCACCAACTTGTTCTTTTTTTACTTGCGTTTTATAATTACCCGCGTGTGCGCTCGCGGATTTAACATCGTCAACTTTATCTCCGAGTTTGATGTTAAGCACTTCTACTTACCACCGCTCTGCCCTCCCTCTCTCCCACACTGTTTTCACATTGAAAGCACCGGAGTTTGCAGAACATGCAAGATCGCCTGTGATTTGCGCGCTAACGCTGGTACCGCTTCTGATGCTGGATTCTTCATAGTTGTAATGTTACCGCTGATATTGTTTTCTACTTCGCCTTTTATAGGGTCACTTGGCCCGCTGTAAAAAGCCAAAGTCGTGAAACGAAGCCACAAAGTACCTGTGTTCTGTTTTCGCTCGTCTGAGCTGTACAGTAAAGGCTCCCATTTCACTGCCGGGTGGGTTAGATTTCTACGGCTGTAGAATTCAGCCGTGCGCGAAGGTTTGTCTGCACAAGAACCGAACCTGAGGCAATCCGATTGCTATCGACCCAGTGAACCGAACCTTCCCACCTTCCCAATCACTGTTCATTGTTTCAAACGGTGCAATTAGGAAATTAATTCGTTATTGAAAAGCACTCATTCAAGGGTAGTGCAGTCCCCCATCCAGAGAAAAAGAACTATCCAGAAGAGTATTTGGCGAGCATACGCGTGCTTTCGACAAATTCTCATCGAGCCTGTACGTTTATATGGGAACGAGGTATACGCTGAAGTGTGTGGGCGGTAAGTGCAATCGATTACGGTTCGTCCTTTCATACAAATGTAATATGTGGATAGAGTGGGGGGAAGGGGGCAGCCAGTGACGATGAGGGTTAGATTGAGTCGTGTCACAGGCGGGGGGAGAGGAAGGGGGTCGGGGCGCGAAGACCTGCATACAACCAGTCGATCCTGGCCCACGGTAGACACGGAGCGTGCAAGAGGTTCTGCGCGCACAGGACCGGCCTCTACAGCCTGATGGCAGTCGCTTCTGCCGTAGCTAGTAAGCGCTGACCCAGTTACTTAGGGTAGTTAGGTGGGACCTTGTAAATCACACAGGAGGCTTCGTTGGGATCCGCACGGTGCTCAGAATCAACCATGTGTGCGAGGATGGGGCTGTGCATGCTCTTAACTTCACCTTTCTTCAGCCCTTGCCGGGAGGTGTTCACGTACTCTTGCGGAGAGGCGCTGACTCGTACGACCAATATAGCCTGCTTCACAGGAAGGAAGTAAAGGAGTAAATGCATATGGATGCGAAGCAGTTCAGAGGAAGAAAGTGCGATCATTGGAAGAAGTGTACTGGCCTGAGGTTTCGGATTCTCAGTCGAGCCCATACCCAGATGCGGTTACGGGTAAGGGTACTGGGGGCTTACGGACTGCAGTATTTATAGTACATGGCTGTCGTGGGGTTACATGCGTACTATCATTAGCAGCCCTCGTGATCACCGCTGGGGGTCGTAATTAAGGTGATGATTGCTGGTCAGTTCGCGTCTGAGTCGTTTATTGCAGCAATTTCATCATCCGTAGTGGATTTTGGCGGGATGGTTACTCAGCAGTTTGGCTGGCTGTCACTGGGACTGTTGCCCTCCCGCGTCCCCCCCACGTGACTTATTCCCCTGCTCAGGGAATGTCTCAGCACCGAATATGGTAATGGGAGGTCATTGCGCTTGTTGACATATTGCGGGTCTGAAAACCACGGTTCGAGCGGCTCACGCGGTTGTCGCCTCACAAGGATTTCAGTTTCTTGAAAATATGACCGGCTCCCCTGGAATGAGCCGCCAACTCAGAGCTAGCCCCGAGCGAGAATCTGAGACGTCAGGTCAATACATTTTTTGTTCCAGCGATCGCATCTTCCTCTGAACTGCTTCCTTCATGTCGCCTGTTCGCTTATATCGGCAGAAGTAATTATGTATGTATTTAACTCCAGGTCTGTGTTTAGATGATCACTCGTAAAGTTTTGTCGAGCTTCGCGAAAGAACAAGTAATGGAGCTCTCCTTTTAACTATTCTCATGTCCGTAAATTATACGGCATTTGGTATTGCTAAAGAATCTTTTGAAGCACCTGGGTGGTGGTCGGGTTAGTTCCAGTCCAGAAAGGGTTTGAAAACAACAAATACACTTTTGGAAATGACTGAAGCTAGCCAAGGTTGCCTAGAAGTGTTGATAACATTTGGAGATCAGAGCCCGAATAAATTAGCTCTTTGTCGCACCCCTTTGGACAAAATCTAACATCCTTGCTGCCTAGATCGATTCGAGGGCTTGCTTAAGTGACTCCTTTATTGGTCATGTCAGCCTGGCAACCACTTGTGGTCGCATGATATTCTTCTTGCGACACTTCTTAGAGTGCTTTGGATTCCCAAATTCGTACGGAACCCTTAACTGAAGGTCTACCGGTTGACTTTAGTTCGGTCTTGCGGTAAACCAACCCACCTGAATGTTCAGTTACTCAATGCCCTTCTTTTACATCACGGGATGATTTATGTCAATGAATTTTTTTAATGAAACCAGATGTATAAATCTAATCAGGACAACCATTTACCATAAATTTCCTCATATAAGGACTTCGAGCAGACCCACAGGCAACAACTGGTAGTAAACTTACTCTAACATACTGTATGAACATTTAATCCTATTGCTTCCACTGTTGTATGCGCTTAAAGAAGATGTACTATTTCATTGAATGTTGGCTAAGGTTTTGAAGTGTGTTTTCAATTCGACAAGATTAGTTAGGTTGGGTCGTCATAATTATTATCGACGACTTTTTCCAACTCGCCACTACAACTTACCTCCGGGGACATCCCTTTAAACTACGTGTGCCCCAGGGTAGATTGAATGTGAGAAAGCATTTCATCTCCAACTGTGTCGTGGAACCTTGGAATAACCTGTCCGAGACGATCTTTATGTCTCAATCTGTGGAAACATTTGAATGTCGGCTAGGCGGACAGGCTGCAGAAACAAGCGGACTCTGTGAGTTCGTAGCCATAAGACCAGTGACCTATGTGAATCAATGTCTGGATTCACTTAATGCTGTACTTTCTCCACATTTTTTCTTATTTTATCGATTTATATGTACAAATAGGGAGTTCAAAGACGTAAGCCTATTTCCCTCAAATACACCGACTGACCGACATATCTCAGCCACATTAGGATGCGGGCTTTCGAATGAGCATCTTCTCGATCGCTTGCACAAAGCATATCCCGTAAATGATGACTACTTCAGTAGGATGATTTTTTCCTACTGATGTTTTTGAGTTCCTTATAAGTTCAAATATTTTATGGAGAACACGTACAAAAATATTTTTTCATTTGCTCCGCTTGTATAAAATTGCGTCTTCCTGAAATTTTCCCCTAAAGGAAAAGTATTTTGTGGGTTTGAAAACTCTCAATCTCCGAATAGTCTGAACACGTCCTGCCGTTACGTTTGCATTCAACGTTTTCGAATCGCAAGTTAAATGTTTTTCGTGCACGCAAAATTCTACATTCCCATATAGTTTTACGAAGAGGAAATATAGGGTTTATAAAATTTTGGAATGAATGTGGACCGCATTGTTCACTTTATAATCAGCGTTAGTAAATGTGTTGGTGCAAGGCTGAACAAGTAGACATTACGCGGTCGTCAAAAGTCTCACGATCAGAAACTTTTTCAAAACCGAAAGGTAATCTTTCTTTAAATATAAAATTCGAATATGCAATTTGTTGTTAATAGAGTAAACGTGAGAAGATTTATATGCGTGTCCTCTATAAAATATGTTTGTATTTATAAGGATGTCCAAATCAATGGGAAAATTCATGCTTCTCAAGTAGTCATTTTCACGGAGTATAGCTGGTGTCAGCGGTCAATAAGTATCTCTTTCGAAAGCCGGCATCCTGGCTTGACTGGACTATCTTAACATTATGCTGCACGATAAAAATCATAACCCTACTTAGGTAATCTTGCTGAATTTAAAACGCACTTCCGAATTTCAGTCAACATTCCATGAGATAGCATGTATGTTATGATAGGAATTAAGATATTTTTAGCTTAACTACTTAAGTGTACGGATCCCACGTTAACGAATTTTCCAGACAACTCTGGTCGTTTATATGGGTTAGTGTGCGATTGTAGACACATGTCAGGTAATTTGCTTCTCGCGTGCAGGCTAGGCGCTCAGTTGCCGAGAAACCACTGTACAGATAATCGCCATTGCGTCAGCGGCGACAGTTTGCGCCTGAATCACGCATACCAATAACTTTTGAATTCTCATTGAAATTTATTTTATTGCTGTTTTGGATATGAATAATGAGCTTACGGGCAAAAACCTCATTCCATTAATTAACTGGGTTAAACTTGACTGATTTATACATGCTCTGATGCTGTTCGGTCTAAATATTCGCACTTACCTCGTTGTCAATTCCAACGCGAGTGCGTATGAGAACGGCATTGTTTTCTTCAAAAACGGCGGTATAATTGCAGTGTCGCAACACTCTGATTCGCGGCGAATCAGAGCGTTGCCACACTGATATCATACCCAGACAGTATTATCTGGAAACACTTGCATAAAAAACCAACAGTCTTCAGGTATCGTTTAGGTACGGGTTTTTTTAATATCGCAAACTGGTGGAAGTGGGAATACCGGTGGCACACTGGCCGGCTGAGTAACCGAAAACGATTTCCAGTTGGGTCATTGTCGATTTACCTCAGTATTCAGTATATTTGAGGGAAATCGGCTTACGCCTTTGAGCTCCCTTGTTGTTTATAAAAATCTAAAAAAAGTTAGCAACAACATAAAGAAACGTCAGCAACAAGTGAATGCAAACATCGATTAACACAGGACACTGGTTTTTTATATGGTTACAAAGTTACATATTCTGCTTGTTTGGTGGGATATATGCCTGTCAAACGATATGTAAATGCCTCCATAGACTGAGACATTACAGTCGCCTCGGGCAGCTTATTTCACGGTTCCCCGGCAGGGTTGGAGAAAAAATACCTTCTCATATCTAGTCTTCCTTTGCGAAGATGTATTTTGAAGAGATGTCCTCGGAGGTTATTTGTCGTAGCGAGTTGGAAAAAATAGTCACACGGAGGACGCAGTCCAAGCCACGCACGATACGAAAAGTTTATAGAAATTCTCCGCGCAAATGCCTATAACTCAGAGGATAGACATCAAGGTTGTTCAGGCTGGTCTCGTAAGGCAGTGTACTTTGACCTCTTACTAATTTTGTGGCTCGCCTCTGCACCTTTTCGAATAAATGACAAACCTGCTGCGTACATGGTCTCCAAGCCTGAATTGCATATTCAAGCTGCGGCCTTACAAACGTGCAAAAAAAAGAAGCATTCTTCATTGATGACTGCGAATGTCCGTCTGATGGCATACAGCATTGAAGTTGCGGCTTTTGCTGCCTTGTGACATTGTGTTGACGACTTTAACTTGTCTGCAACCCAGATCCCGAGATATTTTTGAGGTTTTGTTTCGCGGAGTAGCATCCCGTCTAGAAATTATTGTCGTGCATAATGGACCTGATTTGGATTCCCGAGAGGGGGTATGGTGTATTTGTTCTAACAGAAGAACAGTAGCCATCTTCGGGACCACTCGTCCAGTCGGCAAAGATTTTCTTGGTAGTTGGTCTCGTCGGCAGCATTGCGGATGACTTTCCATATTTTAATATCATCTGCAAATATGGCATAATCACAGTCCAATCCCAGTCTTCTACACAATCATTAATGAACAAGAGAAATAGTCTGTCCGGGCACTGAGCCTTGCGAGACCACTCTCTATGACTGGGCGCCTTCGTAGTTGTTGTTGTTATACGTAGACAATTTGGAAACGGTCGCCGGGGAAATTTTCGATCCATTTGAGAAGTTTGCCTCCGGTGCCCATGGCTCTCGATTTTTACAGGAGACGCTCGTACGGAACACTGTGGAACGCCCACCGGAAATCGGTATAGGCCACATGCACAGTGTGTTTCGCACCCAGTGCTCTTGTCCAGCTTTGCCTTTTGTATAACAAGTTCGTTGCACATGATCTTCCCCTACGAAAACCTTTTATGTGCATTCGACAAGAGGTTGTTGGTTTCCAAATAAGCCATCAATTTCTTTTTGGTTTTCTCCACGACTTTGCAGCAAATTGAGGTCAGACTGACTGGTCTGTGGTTTTTCGCAAGAGCACGACTGTCGTTTTTGTAAAACGGTGTAATGTGGATCTTTTTTCGGTCTGTGGGAAGGATTCCAGAATCCAACGAAGCCTTGCACTAAAAGCATAGCGGTTTGGCCAACTCACGGGAACGTTCAGAGGGCAGTTTTATGGGGATCTTGTCGGGGTCGGGCGATTTACATCCCTTCAAGCTTTTTTGTTCTTCCAAAATCGCCTGTTCTCGTGATACAGTATTTTCAATAATCAAATAACCCATGCTATTAGCAATGGGCAAAGTTAAAACTGCTTTTCTTTTGAAAACTGGTCAGAAGAACCGAGAAAAGGGCTCAGTTTTGTTTGTGCTGTCCGATATCTCCAGACCGTCATCATTACTCCTGGCAGGAATCGCATTCTTGCTACGGGTACTTTTACGCAAATAGCTGTAGAGCAGTTTTTGATTTGTACCGGTTCGGTGGAGCAATTGACTCTCGAAATCTTGCCCTCTCTGGAAAATTAAGCCCTTCACCTTGTCTTATTAGACTTTATATTCTGCAAAGGCCGCATTGTTGTTGCTTTCGTGTAACTTCTTCCGCGGCCTTCCTGTCTTGTTGATCTCCTTTTCGAGATTTCTTGTTAGCCACAGAGGTCAGTTAGGTTTCCTCGGCTTTGATAAGGGATAGTGGCTCTTCATCAGATGCAATAACCGACTCTTTTATAAATTCCAGGCCTCGTTGACGTTCTTAGAGAAGAGGACATCACAGTCTATTTATGACGCCTTAGCCCTCATTTGACATTCACTTCGTGATACTTTAGCGGAGGAGGTATGATTAAGCGCCAATATCATGCGGTTATCAGCAACTTTCTGACAACGGAATAATGAAATAAGGAAATGTTCTACTGCAGACATCCTACGATGTAACTACCGACCACTTTATCTAATCTTTCACTTCAAGTCCATTTTCGCAACAACCATTCACCGAGTAGAAGGTCCTTACTTGGTGTAAGAATGTCTTCCGTGCCTGTAGAATCCCCATGCCGGTTAGTTTATATTACAAGAAATACCGTACCTCCTCCAGATGTACGCATAGACTGTTTCCCTTCAGCGAGCCGCTCTTCCGTAGATATCGTTTTAACTGAATTCGATATCCCTCAGTGGCATTGGTATGTTTATCAGCTGACGGAACATCGAAGTTCTTCGAGTGATTTTCTGTGAAGTGGGTGTAGCCCAGTGCTGTAAGTGGAACACAACCTTTCCACTCATCGGGTACGAGGACACTTCTGCGTACAACCCACTTCCTAATGATTTTGGTGAGAGAGGCCGCACTTCGGTCATTAATTTGCTCAAAACGGCTCTTTTGTGACAAGTTGCGTAAATATCGATCATCCAGTCCTGCCGTTTTCGGATTCCGACGTCGTATTTTCTTCCGTTAACGAAGGCTTCATCAAGCTGAGCCTCTATACCCTCACCACCTACTCGGGTGACTTCTCGTCGAAGAGTGTTAGAGCATATGTTTCTTCACACGGCGTACCACGAGACTCCTGTTTTACGCGACATAGCAATCTTATCTGCATATTCTACCACCGGCGTGCACCAAACGAAGCCCAGTACAATTTTTAGTACTGTCGACATTGGAAGCCGCCTATTGTTAAACATGGAGCGATTTCTTATGGATTTCGTTTTTCAACATTTGGTACAACGAAATGCTACATCACCTTTTGGCATATGCAATGTTTTCAGTTGCATTGGGCTTCCGCAAATGCAGTTCACTTGAAGCGCAATGATCTTTTTCCCGGACAGTGCTCAATACCTGTTGGCAACCGTATATAGCTTTTTATGCGTATGTGTTTTGAAACACTTTGGGCATGCTGGTATTTGTCGGCCATGCTTACTGATCCACGTATCAACCGTATAACACGCTGAACAATTTAAGTTGTTTTTCGATAGTGTTTGCCTGACTTTTGTGACTTGATGCTGTTTCCATGAAACATCATTTGCTACTTAGTCATGCACACCTTCTAACCGTGGACTGTTTTTAATTACCTAACTAACTGCCAGACGATGGCTTATACGACTACGATGATTAAATGTGAGCATTGATCATTCTTGTGTAGGCAGGATGATCTGGATAGCCAAGGTTGACATGAGCGGTGAGCTATATAGTTGCACTGATATCGTATCTGATTGGTCTTGTCACTGCTAACTGACAAGGCATCTACTCACAAGCCGTCTACACTTTCCTTTCATACCTTCGGTTCAGTTTTGTTTTGATGGTTACTCTTTTCTATGGCGTCCCGTTTCCCTTAGGCTTCCTTTACGGAGTCAGCACTGTGAGTCGGGTTAGGCTTCGATTGGCGATTTCAGCAATGACTACCAATATACAGAAGACATCTTCCGTTCGGATTGTATTCAAAACGCGTGCTAGGTAACCCGTCGATTGGTTTCGGGAATATAAGATGGTCTATAGACCGGTGGGTGCGTGGAGTCGTTATAAATGACAATCCTACGCCCCGAAATACTCACATGCGCACCAGGAACTTGCTCCCACCAAATGCTGCACAGGGCACTTAATTAACTCAAATTACCGTCAATTGAACGGATTGGTATCGTGACCATGGAAGTGACTTTGAGTTCGTAATCGTCAACGGCATTGTTCTGAAAAGGTTATCTGCCCACCTGTCCACCCACACTCTGTACCTGAGGCACGATAGATGTGCTAACTCGTTAAATGTTAGCCGAAATTCTGGAATGCGTTCTCGACCCGAAAGGATTACTTAAACAGGGTTGTAAAATTGGTCATCCATTCAGCATAATCCCAGAAAGATTCAATTACTTTAGGATGCTGGCTTTCGAAGGGAATGCTTTCCAGTCGCCTGCAAAAACTACACTCCGCAGACAGTGGCTTTCTAAGTGGTATGGATTTTTCTCATTGATTTTCAATGTCCTTGTAAATTCAAATATATTTCATGGAAACCATGCATAAAAAATATCCATCTTGTTATTCCTTTGGTAGAAGATTACGTATTTTTAAGTTTTATACTCGAAGGATTGTTATAATTCTAATCCCTTAATTTAAGGTTGTGGAATATCCTTCACAAAACATCCTGTCTGTGCATTTGCTAATGCTGCTTCTAGTATTTACGATATAGCTTAAATCCGCTGCTTAATTTTAATAACCCCATAGGCGCTCTCCTTGATAACAGGTAAAAATGGATGACTTTTCGCGCACGGAAAATATACAGCTTGTAGTTTGCAAACTCTGAATGCATGGGTAACGGCACGTCGGATTCCAAGTTAATCGGGTATGGGAAACGTTTTTAAAACCGAATTATACCCTATCTTCCGGTATAAGATTTGAAGAAAACGTAATTTTCTGCCAAATGAGTAAAGGAACGAATAGTTTCATGCACGGTTTCCATGAAATATATTTGAATTTATAAGGGCCTCGAAAATAAGCGAGAAAAGATTATACCACTGAAATTTTTTTGCAGATCGTGGTTTTTGCGGGCGGCCAAAAATAAGTTTGTTCAAAATCTAGTATCCGGATGTAACTGAATTATTATGGGATTATGTTGCCCGCTGATGAATACTGCCACCCTACTTGGGTAATCTTTTCGAGTCGAAAACACATTTTAGTATTTCGATTAACATTTAATGAGTTGTCATGTTTACTGTACACTGCAGCCAACGGAGTTTACAGTTACTAACTCGCACGCTCACTTTTATACTTACAGAGTGAATTTCCCCAAGATAACCAGACGAAGTCTGTCATAATAGTACGCTCAATCATGTAGGCCGAGGGCGGCAGGGGGGATGCTAGTAAAAATGCCATAATTTTTAAATTAAACCTTTCTTGTGATTTATTATACTGTAATATTGAAGTTAAAAATTTACGCGTCTCAGATTTAGAGATCAAACCGTAAAACTTCGGTACAGTAGTATACCTCATCAGTGAGCCGCCTAGGTAACCTAACCAGTATGCCATGCAGGTCCAGGTTGGGTTAGATCATAATCGCATATTCGTAAATGCCTGAATCTCTTACTCAAATACCACATACAGCAACCATACCGTCAGTAGTTTTCTTCGACTGACATGCTGTACCATTATTACTTTCCCCCAAATTACTTTTCTATTCATTTTTCTACTTAATCGGCCACCTCTTTTATCAGTACGGAAAGCAGTCTAAGGGTGAGTTCGAAAATGTTTCCAAATGAACGCATTACACCATCTCCGCTAACCATTACTCTGTATTAGATATGTCCCACAATAAAGCATTCTAACTGCTACACTCCCTTCTTAGATATTCAGTAACACCACAGTTGTTCATTCTGCTGTTTCCTGCCGTGGAAGTCGTAGACGTAAGTTGAAGGGCACGATGGCGTCTTTTGACAATGACCACTACCAAATATCCTATACCTATCCGCTGTTGTCCTTCCGCGAGAAAGCGATGAAAACCCAGGCCCGAACTTCCCTCCCACGGCGCTAACGACGCACGCACTCACACCCGCTAACTGGTCATTCAGGAGGCCATTGCAGTTTTCGTTATAACCCGACCACTGGAATGGAAGCATGACATGAAGTGCCACTTCCTGCCTTTCCATAGGCTGCTGTGATACGACAGAAGTGAACTGATCCGTCTTTAATTCGCGAAAGTGGTTTGTTCCGGGCAGCTTTTTTGCGTTTGTGTGCTTGCAGGATCGACCGCCTGAGGTTACATCCCAACCATCGTAGCAGCCTCCAGCTCTACGCTCCCTTTAATTCAGCCAGAAACTGATCGAGATTATGTCCTCAGAAAAAGCCCTTTTGACCAACCTTAATCAAGGATTTGCTATACTTTATCTACTCTATTATCATGTCCTTTATCATTACATTTCAATAAACTGCCCTCCATACCCCCTGCCTGTTGGAATACCGTGTTATTATGTCTGCCGAGACGCATGCGCAATCATTTGGATAACCTTTCCCATTTGGCTGTCCAATGAAGGACCCTGAAGAAACCGATGTTTTGAGGCCTTGTGGGCAGCCATAGTAGCAACGTCGCGACTCTCGCTAGCGCCTGCAGCTACGCCCTGGAGACAGCCTGCTTTGACACGCGCGTTTGCCCGGCTTCCATTTGTCTCGTTGTGATTCAGTGTCCGAACCACGCACCTGGTCGATTCTGTGTCTGCAGCGTGCTCGGAGCCCGTGAACGCAACCGGACGCCAACTAGGCCACTGCGTAAACAATTTGCCAAGACGCTTTTGCAGCGGCGACTTTCGGCGGCAAACGGCTCGCGGTGTAGCAGACGCCGCTTGCGCGGAGCCAGGCGCACCCTTATCCGATTGCCAAATTTCCTTCATTATTCTGTACAGAATGAATAAATAATCGTCCTCCCAACTGTCGTCCGGAGCATACATCATAATCCTTAGCCGCTACATTCTATCGGGGACAAAGAGAACTTCAGCGTTACCCTGCCTTACCAAGGTCAAGTCATTTATGAAGCGTTTTGATGCATTTAAACGAAAATTGGCGGAGACTTTATTTTTTTATCATCGAGCACTATATTCAATGATTTTTTCGTTTTAAAGGCCCCGCACACACAATCCCTACTGCCACCACTCCTGGACGGCAGTCGAATGGGGAATAAAGTACATTAAGTGTTATAACATTGTTTTCCCGCCACTCTTTTAAAGGAAAATATGGCGTCGTGCCGCAAAGAAAATGCGATGAAGACTGAACGATGAGAGGAGCACGGTAGAGCGCAAATAACTTAATTGTAATCTTCTCTCACGGTGGCCGTTGTGAATGCAAATTTACGTCCCGAATGTGTTCTTCTAGCAGTCACTGGAACAAATGACGGTCGGGAGCTGTGATTTATTTTCACTTTTGATTCTTATTTCTCTTTGTCTCCTAGCGAAGTTGTCTACACTGGAAGTCCGGCGTTCGAACGGACATAACTAACCGGCGGACCCGTCCTACGCCCTGAAACCTCCACGAAATTAACGTTCTGGTCTCAGCTCCGTTTTCTTCTTCGTGTTTTCTCGTTTATCTTTGTTGCATCAGTAAATTTACATACCACAACTCCTTTTATTGATTGGTTGCGAGCTGACGTCAGTGTTATTCAGGCACATATAAAACAAAATAATAAAGAGCGGGTCAGGGTCACCGAGCGTGGAGACTGCTGGGATGAGGACCCCAAAGGCCTCTCTATCCTAAATAGACCCTAATCACATTGGATAGGTAGAGGGAGGAAGGACATTATATGCTGACTGTCTACATGCAAAGGGAACCCCACGGTACAAGAATATATTTGTGACTCTCCGCCTTCTTAATTCCATCTGTCTACGCTGCGGCTAGTGACACTACCATAAAATGATAAATATACCATATTGTTATAGCAGATTTTTTTCTACGACAAACTCGTGAACACCATCCTTTTAATAATATTTTTGCAACTCATTACTCCGATGGATCCTGACGTATCATGTAAATAATGAGGGCCAAGCCATCCCATTATAGAGGCTAAAATCCCCAGGAAATCCCATAGTGATATAAAATCATGCTGTGCATCTATGAATACTCATCCACATATACAAAGCAAGTAAAATTCAGACGATGCTGTTCTTGGCATCAATACTTCTTGTTTTTCTATCTCTCGTTTCGTTGTAGCCAATCATGGATCCAGATGATATTTCGCGCTATTTGACTTTGTTTTGGTGACCGCCATGTCTGGGTGCGGTGATACTGATGTGCAGGATGTCGAGCTCATGGCCCCTGTTGACTCTACGCCAGACTTAGAACAGAAATTCACTGCTTCTATGTGTTCCGGGCAGTTCGGAAGTTTCGAAGAATTTGAAAGTACTCTCAAAAATCTAGAAAAAGAGACGGGCATGCTTTTCATCCGGAGTGGCAGTTTCAAAATAAAGACTTCCCCATCTGAAGCCGAACGGTTTCGGTATTATCGTATGAGGTATGTATGCAAGCATGGCGGGACTTCGCGCGCTTCCTGGCATCTAACCAACGGTCGCCGGACTTATAAATGTGGCTGCAACTCGTACTTTGAGGTGCTTCTGCGGCCAAAAGGCTTTGAAATAACAAAGTATAACATGCAACACTCTCATCTCACGAGTAAGCCATTGGCATCCCATTATCCTGAAAATCGACGGCTTACTCGCGAAGAAGAATGTCTGTTTAAAGACCTAATTCTTGACAATACCGACAATAAAGGGATCCGCAATGTCATGCTAAGTAAGCGTGACTGCTATAGTAGTTATTTGTAGACCAATTCGGCAAGGATCTATCCCTTAATGATGTGAAAATGATGAAATTCAAGTTGAAAAGAAAAATGGCCTCTAAATGACCTTGCATGTAGGTTGTTATTCTTCATATCTACGTGCTCTCATTAGATCTCATATGGGTCTAGGCCAGACAGTCCCAACCCAAGTTTTGGACGAAATACCTTATGAGTTGCTGGTTGGATACTCATGTATAGCTGAAGTGGAATCGGACTGGCTGGTGTTTCCACAGAGGTGCATTTGTCCTAACGTCGACTGAGGTGGTTGAGATGTTTTCTACCTAGTTGTTTTTTTCTTTCTTCATATGAAGTCCTTCACCTGTACAGTGTATACAAACAAACGGTTTACCTATCATCTCGCATTTCTTTGTTTATTCCACTGCATTGGGAGGATCTTTGGGGCGTTAAGTTCCGCTTCTCCCGGGTCTTGCTTCTAAGAAAATCTCTCAAGTTCTGTCATCTCGTTAACATGCTGGCAGACGGACTGCGCCCTTTGACGAATTACCCCAACCTCTCAATTTGTTCAATTCGCGTCCCCAAATTCGCACACCAGCCCTCCTGGTTTATCCCCGGCACTTCTGTTTTGTTCGCGTTGGCTCGCAGGTCTGTGAACATCGGAGCCGGCCAAACTGGCGTTTCGCATTGTTCATACTTTTCTGCCGTGTTCTATTTTACCAGGCCAGACCTACTTGTAGGAATTTGTAAGAGGCTCGGAGTGTCTTTTAAAGTCGTCATTTTGCTGTTACGTGCCAAAGTTAATACAGCCTTTCCATCCTGAAAGATTCAATTCTTTTTCTTTCCTGGGCGCTTCATCATAAGCAATACCGCTGTTGTCCCGAGCTCCCCTATTCGCGAATTTCGAGTGACTTACAGCACTTCACAGTCATTTTTCCCCGGTGACGGGATTTGCTCGCGTCGTTTCCCGTAATTTTCTCCGTTTACTTGTCGCGCTTGAGCTGGTTCCTTACACAGTCTGTAAGTCTCTGACAGACTGTTTAGAAACTTTTGCTATGCGACATCAGCCCTCGGACTCTCATACCGTCGGGCTACAACAATACGAGTAGTAGTTGTTATCCGTGACGTTTTTAGCATTTTCAAGTCAGTGTTTGCGAAACAAGCCTCGTTTACGAATATTTGCCAGCCTATGACTCAGTTCTTCCCATATGTGACTGTTTTCTCTCTAAACTGAAGATCTCATGACAAAGGCACGCTTACCTGATAATTGCTACCACATGTCGGAGCCCGCACCTCAGACGTTGTGGATTCCTATAGAAAATTTACCGAGATCATTTTTGAGCCGATTACGTTAGCTGCAGTTGCTTCGACTAGTAGACATTGCCGGTCTCCACAGATAAGATATATAGGATTCAATGCTATAGCGGCCAGGATAGTCAGTGGTTTCTAATCACCACAACTGAGAGCTAGGCTCTGAGCCGGTTAACCATAAACCCGGCCAGTAGACATCTAATGGGCACAGAATCCTCGAGTAATATTTACTGGCTGAAGTGTCCTGCGCAGGTGTGCATGCTTTTCATTTGAAGCTGCGCAAGTATATAACAGTGTTAGACATATGGGAGCTAGTGCCGGTATCTTCGGCTGATTTGTCTCATTAGGACGTGGTCGTCAGGGCTTTGCTGTAAGGTCGGCATTCCGTCCATGCCGTGCTCTAAGAAAGTGATGATTGGTTGAGTAATGCAGTGTGTAATGCAGTCTGGCTCCCGGCTACAGACTGAATTCTGTAGCAGCTGAGTCCATGTGACCGTAAGTATTATAGAAGAACGCGGACATTGGGTTTTTTATCCCAAGTCTTTGGATGGCTTTTCGTAGGTTCGCGCATTCCGAACTCTAGCTGTTTCAGTTCTCATTTGAAGGCCATGTTAAGTACCAGATGAGGGATTTTGCCATCTGTCACTCCAAAAACCATCATGAGACATTGAGATAAATAGGTCATCATAGATGCCTTAGCCATTTACGTACTGACTTAACCTTATCGTCGAGTTTGCAACATCAATAGGGCCATGTGATGCAATGTCACCGTAGGAGTGGAAGACAAGATGAGGCTTGTGGAAGGATCTTGGGCAACAGGACTAATCACGGCACACCCGACGATATTTGCAGCCCGTGAGGGGAACCGTTGGAGAACCTCCAACCAGCAAGTGACTGGCAAAGAGACCCGCGAATGCGGTGGTCATCGGGCCTCTTAAACCGCATTGGCATCCGACCAACTGATAAAATCTGCAGCTGGTCGAACGTGGAGGCGCGAAATCGGCACCCGGGTGGTTTTTAAGATACCGAACCAATATTTTGACTGAAAATCCAGGTACAGAGGACTCCGCAGCTGAATGCGTCGAGACTTCGGCCCAGCCGAGATGTTTAGAGGTCTGAGGGCCACTTCTGCTCCATTTTTCTTTCTGCTTAATCTGGTGTTATACTCGAATGACAGTGAGGGCGTCTGAGTTGTTTGGACTTTCGTAGCTTACATCCCGCCTATTTTCAACAATCAATGGAACAAAATAATCCTTTTGGCTTGTCGCTACGCTACTGCTCATGAGCACTCTGGACCACGTCTTCAAGGAAAAAACAATATCTCCCGCAATCAGTGCTGGTTGCTGAAGGCCATCTCCGTGTGGCTTATCCGAATCGCTGGAATAGGTAACTAGTTTTCCCAGGCTGTCCGATAGTTCAAACTCGCTATATCGCGCCTCAAAGGATAAGGGGTTGTACTTTGTTTCTAGGGGTTACTTGGAAATATCCAGTAGTCACCCCTGCTATTTGGCTCACCGGCCCTTTCCGGGCAAAAGAGGAGCGTAGCAGTGTCCGACGGTTGTCCTGTCTCCCCTCTTACGAAAGCGTCCATGCGCTAATGAGTTGTTGTAGTCTTTAAAACTTGATCAGCGGTGGCTTTCAAACGCCATTTACACTTTGCTGTCACTTTCAGCCTGTGAACATTCCCATCAACAACTTCTGACATAGTTGCGAAACACCGTTCTTAAACGGAATTTACGCAAGAAACCGCACAATGAACACCGCGAGCCCACTAATTGGGCCGATTACCACAGCCACTTTTGAGCATTGCCTTTGTTGGGATCGTGACGGGGCTATTTCTGTTTTTAGTAACTACACTTATAACCACCAGCGGCAATTGGGGATACTATAAAATTAGGAAATTAAGGCTGATTCCAGTAGAAGAACACGTTTACATACGAATCGGAAGTGGAGCTTTCAAGTCCTTCCAAGCCCGAGATATTCCCAGGATGTCATCACAGCCAGTGCGGACAGTTTCATTCGAGGCCAAGTCAGCGTGTTTAACTCGAGGGATGGTTATCAGGCAAGAGTAGTCAGAAAATAGTCCTAACTCGCCCCCACGTAGGAAGGCTGACCCGACGGCGATTCTTTGTATCGATGAAGATATCACCAGTTCGTTGACAACTTGTCCCCGAGGTACTTTGCGACTTTTCGATTCTTCAAATTCGCTCCAATTAATCTGAAAGGTGTCTTCTCTTTGCTTTGGGCGCAGCAGGGTTCTATCGTCAACATAGTGGAGGCCAGTAAGTCGGCGGCCGGGCGGAAGTTAAACAGCAGCCTTCTCCAGCATCAGTCAGGATATCAAAAGATTGACATTGCTTACCGATGACCAGAACTGACGCAATGCTGGAAAAATTGTACACTCTGATTACGGCGACGATCTCTGACAGAGTACCGTCTGGCAGAGAGTCACGACAAACATAATCGAACGCTGCAACAACGTCATCGAAGCAGGCGACCGTCAGTTGGTGGCAGTCACAGGAAAATCGATGAATTCGTTGCAGTCCTGGCCGACGCACACATCTCTAGCTCAGAGACCGGTTTGCTTGAGTCTCATGCTACAGTCGCGTACGCGATGAAATCCCCTGAGGGTGATGATGGCAAAAGCCCCTGCAGCAGTCGTAGTTCTCGCGCCGCGTCGTATCTCTCTTAAGATAGGCACAATTGCGGCCGAGTCCCAGTCCCCAGGAGCGACTTCGCATCACACACTTGCTTAACCACCACACGGAGCCTGTGGACCAGTATCGAGGCAAGAATTATCGACTTCAGAGGAGATACCATCGTTTGCGAGCACCTTTTCGTTAGGCAGCTTCTGTACTGGGCCGATGATTCTTTCCCGAGAAGCAGGGTCGTACAAGACGGCAGACGCCGGAGAGGGATAAAACTCCGCTGCAGAGTAGAGAAAAGGGTTATGGGCTGGCCGCCGACGCTGAGAAAAACCTTAAATTGCCCACGCCAGTGTCGAGCCTTGGCCGGATAATCAACAACAAGGCCGTTACTCATATGAGGAACACTCAGAAAGTGCAAGGAACCGACTAATCGGTTGCCGTCAAGTTTAAAAATTGGTCCATGGAGATCGCTACTTCAGCCCGATAGTTCCGTGATACCTATGATCAGCTTTGCTGTTATTTTCTTAATGTGGTTGAAAAAACAGACTTCGGTTGTCTGAACAGACAATCCCAAAGTCCCTGAGCTACATTTTCGTAATTTTGTAACAAAGACGTCATGCTCGCGATAGCTAAAACACGTATAAGACGAAAACTTCCGGAAATGTACGAAGGGAAGCGTGGTTTAACCCACAGGCCCTATCGGCTTCGGCAATAAGCATCAACCGGTTGTCATGGACTCAGCTGCAGAACGTTAAATTAACCAGAATGCAGTTAGCCTGACTGGCCTCATTACTGTCGTTTGAATTCCAGATCATATGTTTGCGGTGACGCTGGAAGTACATTGATGGCAACTAGCTCGTTCGGATCAACAAAGTTCGACACCTACCATCGTTACATTTATCTCATACACTATGGTAGAGAAGGGTACAGACGTCTACCCCTAAGATCTTCATTTCTCGCGAGGCTCCCTGAGTCCTGGGTTCATATTTCGTACAGGTGACAGATATCCACGTTGTACTGATGTAGAGTGGGCGGAGCCAGACTGGATATTAGGATCAAAGAACATTTGCACATTCCAGGTTCCTATGTCCGAAATGCGT